ATGTATTTTTTTCAGAATCTATGTATGTATGTACATGTGTGTATAGAGATATAAAGATAGATGGAAAAGATTTATTATAAGGGATTGGCTCACATGATCATGGAGGTTGAGAAGTCCGAAGATAAGGCACTTGGCAAGCTGGAGACCCATGAGAGCTGATGGTGTGATTGAGTCTGAAGGCCTCAAGAACCAGGAAAGCCAGTGGTATGAATTCTAATTCAAAAACAAAGGGGTTTAAAACCCTAGAAAAGCCAATATTCAGTTCAAGTTCAAAGGCAGGAAAAGACTGATGTCTCAGCTGAAACAGGCAGATGATGTTCCCTCTTAGCCTTTTCATTCTATCAGGACTTCAGATGACTGGATGAGGCCTGCCCACATTAAGGAGCACCATCTGCTTTGCTCAGCAACTCATATACTTGTGGGATTTTATTTTTTTGTACCATTCACATTCATATTTTTAAAATTGAGATACAAGTGACCCATAACTGACATGACATTGTATTGTTAGTTTTAGGTATATAACAGAAATTTGATACATATGTGTCTGTGAAATGATTACCACAATAAGTTTAGTTACCATCCATACCCATGTCTGGTTATAATTTTTGTCATGTGAATGAAAATTTAAAATCTACTCTTCTGGCAACTTTCCAGTATACAACATGGTTTCATTAACTATGGTCATTATGCTGTACATTATGTTACCAGAACTTACAACTAGAAGTTGTAATCTTTTTTTTTTTTTTTAAAGATTTTATTTATTTATTTGTTAGAGAGAGAGAGAGGGAGAGAGAGCAAGCACAGGCAGACAGAATGGCAGGCAGAGGCAGAGGGAGAAGCAGGCTCCCTGCTGAGCAAGGAGCCCGATGTGGGACTCGATCCCAGGACGCTGGGATCATGACCTGAGCCGAAGGCAGCTGCTTAACCAACTGAGCCACCCAGGCGTCCCTAGAAGTTGTAATCTAACTGAAATTTTGATCTCCTCTGGAAAGACCCTTGTAGAATAATGTTTAACCAAAAGTCTGGGACCCTAGGGCCCAGTCAAACTGACACATGTTTAACCATCACAACTCCTCAGCTCAAACACCTCCTCTGTGAAGCCCTCCCTACCTCTCTAGGCCAAATACAGTCCATCATCTTCCCTCGAGATGCTTAGGAGAACATTATCCTTCAGATCTCTTGCTAAAATTATTCTGTTTCAAAGTGAGTTGTATTAAAAAACAAATTGATATAGAAAATGCTAATGACACAATGTTAAGTAGGAAGAATGAGATACAAAACTGTAGAAAAGATACTTAAAATGGTAAATGGTAGTCATTTTATGTATTTATAGAAACAGAAAAGACTGAAAGAAAACCTATCAAAAGGAGTGTTTTATCTTTATGGTCGTATTCTGGGTGATTTTGTCCTTATTTTTATACATTTTTCTATGTTTTCCATTTATATTAAGTGATTATTAACAGAAAGTAAGTTATTTTTTAAAAAGTGCCTGGTTTATGTTTCATTTGTGTCTCTGAAATGACCTTTCTTACATACGTATTTATATAGAGTAATGTTCAGCAAGCTCATAATAAGCAGTTGATCATTAGGTGAAAAAAAAAGAAATACGAGGGATGCCTGGGTGGCACAGTTGGTTAAGCATCTGCCTTTGGCTCAGGTCATGATCCCAGGGTCCTGGGATCGAACCCTTCATTGGGCTCCATGCTCAGCAGAGCGCCTGCTTCTCTCTCTCCCTCTGCCTGCCGCTCTGCCTACTTGTGCTCTCTGTCAAATAAATAAATAAAATCTTAAAAATATATATATTTGAGAAAGATTTGATATCGTTAATTTTTTTCAAGGTAAGAGTTTTAAAAGGCACAATTATAGTGTCATATTTAATACTTGAGCAATTTTGAGTATATTAGAGGGAATTGAAAATTGTAATTACACAAATCATTAAAATATTTGCAGAGCTATCTAACAATTCTTTTTCTCTGTTGGTAAGCATATATGTTTTACTGAAGTGCAAGTCTCCATAATTTTATAACCAAAGAGTATTATTGTATTTTAAATACTAATTAACTGGTATAATAATACTTAATAATTAAATGAATAAAAAATAAATTTAGAGGGGCACCTGGGTGGCTCAGTCCATTGAGAATCCGACTCTTGGTTTTGGCTCAGGTCATGATATCAGGGTCGTGAGATCAATCCCTGCATTGGGCTCCACGATCAGCATAGAGTCTTACTGAGATCCTCTCTCTCTCTTTTTCTCTCTGTCCCTCCCCCAGCTTGCTCTCTCTCTCCCTCTAAAAATAAATAAATGTAAATACATAAATCTAGAAAAATTAATAGAAAAACCTATAACCTAAAGAGACAATAAAAATCGAGAAATAGGATCATCAAGATAAGGACAAGTCGAGGGCCCAAAATTCGTTTTCAAAATGATTCCTTAATCAGTTGAAAGTTTAAAGCATTCTCAGCCCTAAATAATGTGTGGTGTATTTGATGGCAGAAGAACGATCCTTTGATTTTCAAGACAATTATTTATGAGTACAAGTATTTCAATTCTGTTCAACAAACAGCAAAATGATTACTTTTAGATATCGTTCTTCAAAGTAACCTATTTACATTTCTAATTTAAACTTTAGTTAGACTGATTTCCAGATATTTTAGACCTATATTTTCTGATTCATGAGATGCAGCAAATGGAAGAGGCCAGCATGTATTGGTGTAGGAGTCTCAAAGCCTTCACTATGCTGAGCGATACAATGGGCAGAGAGGAGAAGTCAAAGACATCCAGACCGGTACCCTGATCTACTTCACAGAAGCCAAGAATGTTGAGACAGAGAGAGAGATCTCCAAAATGACAAACCTATGGAAAGAGAGGGAGATGAGCTGCTGCCTGGTTGAGCGAGAACTAAGAAGAGGGAAGAGACAGAAGGTAGAGTGTCCATTGAGCCCCATAAGAAACAGGAAAAGATGATGGTGAAAGGGGGCTTTATGAGAGTTGGTTGTGTCACACAAATGATCTCCTGTAGTATTTTTCCAACAGTCTTCAATGACAGTTTGAATTTCTTACCAGGCAGTTTTTAGAATGTTCTATTTTATTTCCTCAAATGTGCTGCTATGTAGGAGATGGACCAAACAGAACACCTTTATGTGACAGGATAAGAATTATGACCTCCTTTTCACAAAAGCTTGTATTAAGAGTTATAGTTATAAGTGCTAAACTGATAATTTAGCATACAAATACCATCATGAAATACTGTCATCTTTACTTGTAGACCCAGCTCAGATCTGACCACTTGGTAGCCCTTCTAGATGGCTACAAAACTTCAACTATTCTCCTTGACACCCATTTGTTCTACTATGTAATAGCCCAAGTGCTTCTTTTAAAAGGTAAACCAATATTACCTCATTTATCTGACCATAACCCTCCAATGGCTTCTCATTGAACTCAGAAGAAATCCTCACCAAGAATTCTAAGACCTTCCACGTGCTGCTTCCTGTGGACTTGACTGTCCCCTCTCTCTTTTTTGCTTTCATAGTGAACTCTGTCTAAAGCAGGTCCCTGCTCCCATCATTCTACCATCATTCTCTCAATCCATACTCTACTCATTTCTTCATCATATTTATCAGTACCTGAAGTTATGTCTTCTATTTATGTATTTAATCTTTATCTGTGTCCCCTCCTAGCATGTGAGCTCCTTTAGGGTTGGAACTTTGTTTTGCATCCATCTGTAACTCCACTGCTGGCGTTGTGTCTTTTATATATGAGGTTGAATAGAAGAATGAGAGATCAGTGCATTTCTAAGAAAACCTCCTGTCCTCACAAGTTCACAAGGCCTACTGTGCCCTAGGCACTGTGATGGCTACCAGGGATCTAAAAATAAGACAGAAATGGCCTTCAAAGTGCTCACTGTGTTAGAAAAGCCAGGTGTTAAATAAAAGGTTAAATAATCACAACCAATTACATGTGTAAGTAAGTAAGACTCCAAGGAAAGCAAACAATTTAAATTGAACCTAAATTAAGCTCTCCCTTTAAATTTCAAGGATATATTTAAACAAAGCAGACTGATTTTTCTATAACATTTGCCATTTTTCTCTTCAGCGTTCTCTTTTAGGAAGGAAAGGGATAAATGTACAGTGATGCTGTCAAGGGAGAAACGGGTAAGAATCCTAAGCACAAAGAGAAGTTGAGGTGGGAGATTTGTGAAAACTGGGAGGCAGAGCTTGAGTGGGGAGGACTCGCCCTTGTGTGTGGGTGGAAGGGTCTTCAACTCTGTTTTCCACATGCTCCATGGAAACACAGTTTAAGGACCGTGGTTTATAAAGCCTCCCACTGTTAGCCCCCAAATTGATTGTGGTCTTAAATGCACTGACTAATGACCCCAGAATAATGACTTAATAACATATTATATCTAATTTATCAAATGACTTGGAAGGTTTAACAATCTTTTTTTTTTTTTAAAGATTTTATTTATTTATTTGACAGAGAGCACAAGCAGGTAGAACAGCAGGCAGGGGGAGAGGGAGAAGCAGGCTCTCCGTGGAGGAGAGAGCCCGATGTGGGACTCAATCCCAGGAACCTGGGATCATGACCTGAGCCGAAGGCAGACGCCCAACTGACTGAGCCACCGAGGCACCCAGGTTTAACAGTCTTGAGGAAGATAAGTTGTTCTGAAATAACTTCTAAAATGTCAAAAACTTCATATACAAATATTTACATGTTTTTATGGAACTGCTGTTCCTATTATTTCAGTTCTGCACATCCCTCCCGCTCAATTTTATTCTGAATTCAGAAATGACAAATTAACCTCATCAGATACACTTTCCCCCTACTTTGCCTGTTACCAGATGGTTTATAAAAATGTAACTGGTTCTCAGAATATTTTTTCTGTTTTAATGCTTAAAATTTCTTCTGCCTTTTGAACATGTTTCTTTTTTAAAGATACAGTTCTTACCAACCTTACCAAATAGTTCTCAGAATTCTTTTTTTTTTTTTTTAATTTGGGGGACGATATATTCCAACGTGGGGTGGGGGGGTAGGGTGAAGGCATTTCAGCTCGGAAGCTCCATCACGACATTTCTAGAGAGCTCGGCAGCTCCCCCCCAGCATGGCACAGGACAGGATGTGAGGGCCTGTTCCGCCAGGCTGGACACAAACAGGGTGCGATCTGCAGGCAGCCGCGGTGTCAGGATGGCAAGGCTCCTGGGGCTCCGGGTGTTTATCAGCTCAGTAGGTCAAAAGTCTGCAGACACTGGGTAGAGCAGCAGTAAGCCACGAAGCTCACTGTTGTCCTCCCCTGGTGCAGCCCTGCCATCGGCGTCTCTCTCAAGGGAAAGAGCTTGGGGTAGACAATCGTAAACATGGGCTCACTACACCGGTGACAGTGCCCCAGGGGGCAGTGCAGCAGCTCCAGTAGACTTCTGGGTAATGAGATTGGAGACAGAGAGTTCAAATCTTTAAGAAAACTGTGGTAAGTGTGATGGAGACTCTTCATGGCCAACTCTTGCAGAGGCAGGACGTGATCGTTCTCTGTCCCTATGGCCTTCACCTCGGCAGGGAGGATCACAGTGAGCTGCCCCGATGAGAAAGAAAGCAGCTTCACCTCGGAAACTTGAATGGGAGCACCACAGCCACTGCACCCGATGACTTTATTGTACAGATAGGATGGCAAGCCTTTCAGGTGCATGTTGTTATCCACGTACACGTACTGTAGTTCTCGAGATCAATCTAGATCAAGTGGCAAAAATGCGAGACGGTTTCCAGCCATGGAGAGCTCGTTGAGGCTGGGCAGCTGGCAGAGATGACGCGGCACGCACCATAGACGATTGCGGTCCGCGGTGAGGTACTGCAGAGAAAGGCACAGGTGAAGCCTCTCGGGTAAATTTAGCAAACGATTGGTAGAAATGTCTAGTGTCTGCAGCTCCTTCAAATCGCCAACCTCTGGAGGTAGGAATTGCATTTGGTTATTAGCTAATCGAAGATGATGTAAAGCTCTCAGACGACCAATTTCTGGGCAAACAATTTCTAAGGCATTGTCACTAAGATCCAAACACTGGAGTTTTACGAGGGATCCAATGGCTTCTGGAACCACAACTATGTTATTTGAGTGAAGGTACAGTTCCACAAGGTTTGGAAGCTTCTGGCAAGGTTGTAAGGGAGTTCCTTTTCACATAGAGCCTCTCCAAGTACTGTAGTCCCTCATCTTTCAGTAACTCCAATGGAAAATGGTGCAGATTCCTATAATTTAAGAACAAATTCTTGTGCTTTTCCAGCCTTGCCACAGAGATCGTCTTACAGAGTTCAGATGCCATGACTGAACATATCCCATCAGGCACGCTGCAGCGCTACATCTTGTCAAAATTGGTCCATTTCTCGGCGCCGGCGGAGCCAGCGCTCCGGGCGCAGGCGGCGCTGAACTGCAAGCCGAGGGTCTGCGGGAGGGCTAGTTCTTAGAATTCTTAACTGAAACTTTGAATCAGGTACACATTTATTTAAGAAAAGTAATACTTTATAATTATACAGTATGCGTTTTTTAAAGTTCTATATCTATTTAATTTTGACGACTTACCCTCCGTAAATTCCAGCAGCCAAATATGTCCTTGACAGTGTCTGGGTCCTGCTTTTGATCTGCTTCTGGCTTTGCAGAAGAAAGTGCGCAGCTAGGAACTCATTGGTTCGGTGTCTTACTGTCATTACTAAGACCTTGCTGCCCTCCATGCAACTTCCTCTAAATTTACTTGCCCTTTATCCTTTTTCTTTCTATGGTAAATTATCCCGCCTGTGCATCTCCTCTTTCGTGAAGACATGCTTTGCATGTCTAGGCCACTCTCTGGCAACATGAAGGGCTCCTGTACATGGTCACAACACCCGTGCATACTTCCTCATCAGCACCCCAAACTACCCGCCCTTCTTCCCATTAAAGCTGTATGCATGTCTATCTCTTGTCATGAAGCCTCCAGTCCAAGGACATCACGTCAAGGAGGCCTCACTTACTATACAGTTTCATCCTTTATTTATATAGTTTCTTCCTCGGATGCCACCAGGAACATGTCTTTTATGCCTCTATCAAGAATTTATCATGTACCAGTCTCTGTTCTGTTTCCATTAATCCTCACAATAATTCTCTGAGGAAGTACTATTATCAACGTTTACAAATAATTTGTTTTTTGGTAATTGTGGCTGAAACTGACCAGAGTAAAATTACAGCAAATTTCCTGGTTAACTGATTTCAGAAACCAACTGAAAGGATTTAGGATTTTTTAGGTCTTTTTGTTCATTTTTTGGAAATTTCAACTTTTTCAATTTTCAGATAAATTTTTTGAAAAGTTTAAAGGTTCAAAATAATGACCTGTGAAAAAATATCTGTGATTCCTCTTTATTTAACATATTATTCTACAGCATAATAAAATAAGTTCTCATTAATTTAAATGGTACACTGGTTGAAACTAGTTTTAACTTGTTGAACCACATGAGTAACAAAGTATAATTTAATACATATGTCATATTTGGCATCTATACAGCCTGATTCATTGGTATGCTAATAAAAAATGACTTTTACTTATTAGGAAAAAATATAAAATCAACTGAGTCCCATGTAGGAAACCTATTCTAGGTACAGTGTGATTCCAACAGTAGGACTGGGAGAAAGGCTGAATGTTTAAAAATTTATTCTTTTAATGCTGTACTAATACTAAAAGTTTTAGCTATAATTAACTAGAATTGAGTTTTCACTATAGTAGTGATTAAGATTACAATTATACTAAAAACAATCAATGAAATTGCATGTAGGGGAACAATCTTTTGATATAGTAACTGCTATTATTTTCTCAGTAATTTTAGCTATCTCCTCTTCCAAGCAGTAATAAGCATTAAGGATATTTAGTACTTACTTTTCTCTGGGAAGGGATTACACAGCAAAAACAGCAGGTGAAGCAAATTCTCAACTTTTGAGACGAAAAACCAAGGACTAGATATAAAATAACTTAGAAGGACATATGACCAGTCCAGGCCTGTTTTCACTATCCCTGAGACTAAAGTTTGCTAAATGAAACATGAAGAGAGAGGAAAAACATGGGAGTTAAATGTTGGTCAGCAAGCATACTGTTCCATGTCCCTGTTTTTGGGCAGACTGCAGGACTGGTGATGTAGAAGGTAATAGAAGCTTTGGATGGGTTGGACCCTTGGTTGCCTCCAGGAAGTACATGCTAGGGTAAGGGTAAACCTTGCAGCGTTCCCTTAAGCTCAGCCAAACAGAGTCAAAGGAGAAATGAGTGTGGTGTGTTCCAGCATAGACTGAAGCGGCATCAGGAGTCACTGCGTGAAGCCCAGGGTGGTGGGAAGAATAACAGACCCTTTTCCTGCATGGTCATGGGTAGCGTAGGTAAAGTTTTGGCGACCAGTAGGGACAAGGAGGGTGCAATGTGATGTCTGTGAAACTGTTACAGGTTATTATGGGGGAAGAAGGGTCCTGTTTGTACTCCTTCTCTGGGAGAACCCAGCTACCCACTGGTAAAAGCTCTGGTTCTCTACATTTTCCCAAGAAGTCAGATCGGTCTCCTTTCTTGCTTGTTAAGCCCCTGCCACCAACACTATCCCCCGCATCCTTGCAATGTTCTCAGAATTCATCTTCTATTGAGAGTTAACGAAAGGGACCTGAAGATTGCAGACACCCTGTAGACCCTTAAGATTTTAGAGATGTATTTATAGCTGCATGAAAGCACACCGCTTTTCTGCCACAGAGAATGTTACAAATGAACACACTGAAAAAGTAAAATTGCATTAAATTAAAAATCAGGTTTTACATGACAAATCACAACATACTGGCATCTCCAATCAAGTGGGTTATTTATAACGATCGAGGAGTGGGTAGATGACAAATACAATTGCGGATGTGTGTGTCTGAACACGAGCAAGATGCTTACTATACAGTTGATGTTATATAGGTAGAGAAAGGATGTCATGAAGTAATTTTATTGAATCCATTTTGAAGAAATAAAAGCCTACGATCTCTCAGGTAGCTCACAAAAATTGGGACTGATATAAAGATGCTGTCATTTGCCTTAAAATATCAGTTTTTACTAACTTAGGAATAGAGAGTTATAAGTCCTAGAAGGTCAGCCTCCTGATATCTTAGGCCAATTACAAGTCCTGTGCAGCCATTAGGTGCTCAGTGTTTTGTTTCTGTTGCTGTGCCTCCCAACGACCTAGAATAGATTTGAAGTAAAGAAATGGACAAGCATATAATCTACAAAATGGAGGTGAATACATTTATATAGATGCAAACACCTCAGTTACATAAAGGAATATTACTGAATTTAAACTTCACCCCCATGTACAGCCTAGCATGATGGCATATTGATGTCCCTGCAGTAAGAGATGAGCTGACACTCTTGTGAAACTTGAGACTAGTAGCAGCAGGGAAAAATCAACGAAGAGTTGCAAAAGACTATGATAAATGTCTTCTACAAGTGTGCTCCAGAAAAAGAAGAAAGAATGATTAAGATCAGATATGCGTGTTCAGAAATTCATTCAAAATCGATGTTGTATTGAACTTGAAGGAAACCAGTAGTTGCCACATGAAAGACTTTGGTAGTGGCAGTGAAGGAAGAGGCTAGGTATAAGAATGAGTCAAGAAGTGGCAATACCTGACCCTGGAAATTGCCTTAACTTGAAATGAAGCCCAAGAAAATACATAGGATTTTGGTAAGGGCCACGGGGCATTGTGGAGGAAGATGGTAAGGTTTCTGTTAGAGATGTTGAGGACAAGTCTGCAGGACATCAAGATGAAGCTGTCCAGGTCATATATATGGGTTTGGAATTCAGCTGTACGTTTTGACCAATAGGTAGTAATTTGGGGGAGTGTTTTGCACCTCAAAGTTGGAGTGTGAATTTAATCCTATTCTGTGGACTACCTATAGAACGAGTGTATCCCAGGGTGTAGGAGCCTGGGCGTCAGACCAGAACTGCTGGGTTCTAAACCCTCTAAGCTCCAAGACTTACTAGCTGTGACTGAAGGAATATTCTTGAATCCCTCTGCAGATTATTTTGGTCATCTGCAAAACAAAAATTACTGTAATACCTACTGTACTACTTGGCTGTGAGAATTAAGTAATTGAATACATATAAAATTCTTAGTGCTTGATAAATATTAGCTACTAATGCTGAACAACATGAAATGGCCTTTTTGAAAATCAAGTGTTAGCCATTGTATATGACTTAATTTTACATATGTCATAGCATGAATCTAGTCTTTTTCTGCTTCCCTAATTTAGCCTCACTTGAAGTAAATCTATATAATCTACCTTTGATGTAAACAAATCACAAGTCATCTGGGAATAGGACCGACTTACTATAATTCTTGGAATAAAATTTAAAACTTATGTCTGACTTTTCCTATAATCTCCCACTTTTCTCCAGTGGTAGAAGCAGAATGATGTCTTATTTGTTTCCACTAAGAAATAACAACAAAAACCTGACAATCACAACTGAAATATGTGTTTTGTTTAAGTACAGTTGTACAGTGAAGGTAATCATTAGTATCAGCACCTTTTGGAGAGGATTCAGATATGCTGTCACTGGTGGGGGTGGGGAACAAACCCACTTTACCAACTAATCTCTGGGACTTAGAAAGCTAAATAATTATGGAATGGCAATTCAGGTCTTTATTCACCCACTTAACCATCTGCTTCCTTGAGGCTATATTCTAAGTAATTGAATCAAAAGATGAAAAACATGAACCCGACATGGAAAGATCAAGCTGTCTTGAAACAGTATGCATTGCAGTGCTGTTATATTCAAGGGCAAAAGTAAATTTGTGTCCTGCTGGTATAACTATAAATCTGAATATTGTGATGAAATCATCCCAAATCCTTTGTGTCATGAAACTGAGGTTTGTGGTCCTCTTCAGGGCAGAGATCATATAAATTTCAAAATTGAAATTGGGAAGCCAATACAAATCCTGTCTGTGTCATCAGATAAATATGGCAGTTGGAATTCAGGCTCAAGTAGCCAACAAATTCCGATGTGTGTTTAAAATACCACAGAAAAGACCTGTGTGGCCAGGCACTTTTCCTGGTTTTATGGGATGGGGATTACAAAGTATTTGCCCAGAACATGAAAAGTAAACATTATAATATGTATGTGATACTTAAAGATAGTTGGCTTCTGAAAAGGAATTAAAGATGTTACTTAGCAGTGAACATAACAAAAGAATGTTTTGGAAAAATAACATATTTTCCTACTGACTCATCCTTTGAGGATTTGCTGATTCTGATCCCTCTTGTTCTTCATTTCTTAACAGTCTTTAATGAATGGTTCTTTT